GTTTGCTTTTGCACATTTGTATACCTAAAGTGAGCAAAATTATGTTTTAAATATTTAGTGGGATGAAAGTTGTTACAGTTGATGGTTAGGTTTTATAAAAAAAAAAACTAAAAAAGCTTATCTCAGACCAAGTTTTTAAGAATTATTTTTCTTTCATTTAGTTTTGACCATAATAAGCAACTGTTGCAATATTTGCAAGTTGTAGCCTTGCAGGGTGACTTCATGGATGCCTGGATTTCGTGGTGTTCGCAAAATGTCTAGGTCAAGACAGCAAACACCTCAAAAATCCAGGTAGATCTAGCACAGAGCAGCTACAGCCTGGGTCGCAAGCAAGTAGACCCTCTGTCAAGTTCTGCGCATGGGGTTAGCTCCCCCCAGGAACCCTGTGGCAAACCCTCCCAGCCACTGATGGGACATGCTCTTACCAGAGACTTCTTCACAGCCAGCTTTTCCACCGGGACTGTGAAGAAGATCAAGATTGACAGTGCCAACTAGCTTAGATCCAGACAGATCTGGTATTCTAATGGGAGTAGGCTCAAGTCACTAGACTATCTGCTCAGATACTTATTCAGCATAGCACTTAAAAGTTAAACGAGTATTTAAATACTTACAAGCCAATTGATTTTTTTAACAGGAAACTTAAAAATACTCCCAAGTGCTCTTCTGAGTATTACTGGACCTAAATAAATACATAAAGGCTAACCACGTAAGGAAATGCTGTGATGAATCAGCACAGAACCAAAGCATATTTTTCATACATAGAGTCTGCGTCATATTAAAATCCTTAAATTTATTTCCATCTGGTTTTCTAACACTGATGACTTTTCAACATAAATGGCGATATCTCCAAATTTTCACTGAAAACAGAAAAATTTCAAACCTGATTTCAGAATTCAAGGAGAATTACAAAGGGAAAGACTTAAGGATAAGGGAAATGAAAACCTAAACTATTTAACTTGTGCTTTTAGATTTCTTTATCATTCAAGGCCAACTTATAAAGTTGAGCATGTGAAAGTTTACATGTAAGCAACAGCAACACATTTGCAGGCAAACGTGAGGACACATCTGACCATGTATTTAAACAAATTGTCAACAATTTGTTTGCAAAGCTTCTGAGAGAAAAATCCAGACTCTGTTAAAACTACTTTTGATATGAATTTGACAGGAGGTCAGGATCTCATAAAGGTCTCCTCTGCATCAGAGGGTGTTTTACCACTAACCAAATCAATGCCATCAACAGAGGCACAACTACCTAGCGTGCATCCTGTCATGCAAGCACAGCATTTATAGTCACTTATTCCCATAGGGGAAACAGAACGAGTCAGTTATTTAAGTGTAAAATTTTTCTAATAAATAATACACTGTACTGGTAAAACTCATACCACAAGTCCATGTAGAGCAGGGAATATACAAAGATCTCTTTGTAAAGTCTTCTCACTAAAGTATGATTTGTTATCAAGAGCATACTGAAATTTTTTTACCAGTATTTTTACATGGCAATGTATTTTAAATTAATATCACCTATTACTGAAATCTTGTCTACACGTCAACTTAAGGAATGGCCATGGAAGAATACGTTTCCCGAATAAGAAGGGCATATCTGTAACTGTAAAGCTAACAAAGCCTTCCCGATTACAACAGTAGTAGGCACCACTGAAAGTATTATTTAAATATATAATATATATCTCTTCCATTAACACAGAATCATGAAGGTTAAAAAAGGTTAAGCAAGCAAATAGTTACTATCAGGGTGACTACATTTACTAACTAACATTAACTCATTAAGTGCCTGAATGAATTGTTCACAATAGGCAAATATCTGAAAAGCACCATAAAATGATGAACGATATGTTGTATTTACTTTTCATAGTGTGCTGATCTGCAATACAGAAAACACTTTTTGGATATACATGAGTTAATAAGTGAAAGAATACTTAAAAACCATGTTTCTTTCATGCCCCAAACATTCTAGGAAATTTACTTTCTGCTATTTTTCTCAGCAAGAGCAACAGTAAATCACCGCCATCCTGTCAAATTTGGTATTATAAAATGATGTGTGTAAAATCTAAAAATTATCTAAAGCATCAGGGCTGGCTGCTCTTGACTTTCTGACTGTATGGATAAAAAGGATCCAGTGCGATAGCAAGGCAGAAAACTAGTAAAGCAGAGGGAAAGCAACAACAAACCCCCAGTCTGACTAAAATCAAAGTGCTGCCATTAAAACAAAAAACCTCTTTCCATAACACACAAGGTAATTAATTTGCATGAAGAGTAGATCTTGGTTCAAAGTACTTTTATATTCAGCAATGACATTTAAAGGGCAAATTCTAGGACACTACACTTAAAAATAATTCTGTACAGAACTAATTAATTGTCATAATTTTCTTGTGTTGCAATTACTTAAGGGGGTTCAGATAATGAAGAAAAAGTAATTGTATTGCACGCAGACACCACTCATGTCCATTTTGAAACCCATACCTTGCCACTAAAGCATGTACTTATTTTCTTAGCTGTTTTAACTTCCCCATATACAAAAGTTCTGAACAAAACGGTACGTGTGAATTCACTCACACTGAAGTACCAGCCTTTGCCATCCTAAATCTGCTTGTTTTCTGGGAGTGCTTACAACTGTTTTCATATTTCATAATGAAGAATTAGTAAGCCTCCATCGCACATATGGGCACGTATGCCAAAACAAAAAACCAAGAGTACCAAAACATTAATGGGAAAAATGGCACATTAGATGTTGTACTTGCATCCAAAAGTGCTTGTTTGGGTAGATAAATTTCTCTTGTTGGTGCAGTCTATCTAAGTTCAACAGCAATAAATGCTGAAAGAATCACCCCTAATTCTACTCACCCACCCAGAAATGTGCAATTCTATTTGTTATTTTATGTAAATGGCCCTTCAAGAACAGAATGCGGAAAAATGTCTTTCCTGATTCTGTGTCTAATACAGATAATCAAACATAAAGAAACTAGTGTGCCCTTACTTATAAATGACAGAAGAAACCACAATGCCATTTCAAAGGAGCCTATGACAACCACAACCCCATGTAAGAAGAGGTCTACCTGGGTAATCAAAGTAAGGACTTAGAAGTCAGATTATTTTCTTTTAGAGATAATACAGCTGTCACCAAAACAACGAACACCCCTACTCATTTAAACAGCCTCATCCACTCTCACTTCATATTTAGTGCCTCCCTTCTGACTGTGTAGGTTCATTAGTGCTAACCTACGTATATGGAAAAGGTATGTTATCCTACTGCAGTTCTAGGCAAGGAGCCAATGGCCAGACACAGAGCTGTCGCAACAAGGAGACAACTCTGGCCTGACTTTGGATCTGGTTCTTTAGATCTAGAGTAAACCAGAAGTGCTGTAACTATTTTGGCATGGTAGTATCCCCAAAGCTGGGGACTATCATCACACTTCCGGTACTAAGAATACTCACCCCAGTAATGCCAGACATTTGATCAAACATCTAACATTCAAAATATGACAACATTTTTCTCATTCATTTGTAGGTTACTAATTAACAGGCTGCATTATTTTTCTCCAGTAGTATTTTGTATCAGTTTTAAAGCTAAAAAACCCATGTGGATAAACAGTTTGTGTTTACTTAAAAAAAAAAATATATATATAAGAAAATACAGAATGTAAGCAATTAAAATGTAGCCCTTTAACAGCAGCAGTACTCTGGCAGGGACCATCATCACAATAAATGGTCTGGAATAGATATAATCACTGCATTATTCCCTTGACACACTTCCATAATTCAGTCAGTCAGAAGGATTTCTTTCTTTCATTATGTTACCCACAAATATGACACGAATTTTGCATCTAAAATTCTAATTTAAAGAAAAGGCTTTTCCTCAAATTCACATACTTTGGATAAAGGGCCATCAATTATTAAGCATACAGAAAATGGTTATGATAGGAATTTCATGTCTGACTACCTGTGCATTGGAGTTCAAGGTAATTTCATTATTTTATACTGAATGCATCATCATCTACTGTATTCCTGAAAATGCAAAACAACTGTAAGTATTAAAAAAACTTTTTTGTAAAACAGTTCTATTCTAGAACAAGTATTTCTGGTATTTAAGGGTAAAAACGCACTTTCGTCGAAATCCTGGTGCTTGTACATTGTCTTCTCTGTCCTATGGCTGCCTTTCCTTCGCCAGCTGCAAAGCCCACTTGGCAGTGTTTTTTTTTATTGTTTTTAGGTACTTCAAAGTAAAAGAAACCTAGATTAGACCTATCAAGCCCTGGAAAAGGTGGACCTTCCAGTGTTTCTTTTTTTTTTTTTAATCTGTTCAGAAGGGCTATGTGTAATTATACTCTTTATCAAAGAAACCGAACTATAATTTGGCATCAATAATGTTTACAGTTCTGTAATGTACTGCAATAGTTTGAGATACTTTAAGAAAACCCTCCAAATACTGAGATGCTTATTGCCGTTCCCTTTTAAAGATTCAAAAGCCTTCTAATGGCTTTGTATTTCCTATTTTTACCTTCTTTACAGCATATGGTATTACATATTTGAGATATGCTTTCCACATAAAATCAAACTTGAAAATATCCACTTAGAAACAATATTTCAGTAAATAGAGGGTTTAAGGCAAGTCATTCATTCGGAAAAATTAATTTCCATTTGTTAATCCTAGATTGACACAAATTTATTCCACCCCATCAGTGCCTTGGGATACACAACGTACATTCAGCAAAGGGCACACATATGACCCTATGGACATACGTTGCAAGTCCTGAGTGCCCATTGAAATAATGGTAATATCTTCATATAAGGCGTGACCCACAGGGACATGGCATGGGAGGGGTTAATCTGTTTTGTTTCCAGTCTTGCTATTGTATGTGATTTTCCTAGGTAATGCATTCTTGTCTTACTAAACATCTTTGCAAACAAATACAAACCCCTTTAAAAGGTGCTAAAAATGGGTTTCTGAAAACATACAAAATATATTCATCATAGTATTTCCTCAATCACTGTTTTAATGCTTGATATCTGCAGGTTATGTCTTGTTTCTGACTGAAACTATTATTTGTTGAGGAATAACTGTTCTTTTGCAAAAGATTTTCTTCTGGTTTTTTGGACCACACAGGCTGGATGCTTTCATGCTTTTTACTTCCTTTTTGAGTTCTTTTCAATGGAAATATCAACAACACCAGGATGCTGGCAATATGAAGACAGAAATAGCAGGAGCTAAAAAAAAAACAACAAAACAAAACACTTCAATAAAACTCTGACCACTCTTACAGGATGCTTAATGAATACACTGTCAAAACCTACTCACATACAGTACCTTTGCACATAAGACACTTGAAGTCAGGAAGACATTAATGTTTCCTTTTTAAGAAAAATAATAAGGGGGAACTCAAAATGAAGTCTTCCCCCACAGTACTTGGTGCTGTAACAGAGATGTAAAGTGAAGAGAAATCTGCTTTCAACTGTTTTTCACAGAAGTTACTTTTGGGAAGACATTACCTAATCTTGCTATAAAATAGTTCAAGTGCATATAGTAATCTTAAAAAAACTCTGGTTTTGGTTGTTTTTTTCCCTAGCCCAGAAAAAAAAGAAGTCTATTATGATTGGAAAGTGAGATCACTTTATGGTTTCTCATACACAACACAAATTATGTTCAAGCACTAGAGCAGAAACAGAGTTTGCTCAGCTAACAAGTCTTATAATTATCACTAAAATAGCTTCAGAAATCTTATGCTACAGAAAATACTTCTATTCCAAGTTAAAGAAAAGGAAAGAGGTAGGATATGCTTACCTGTAAAAGGTGAAAGAGGGTTTTACAGAGAGCAGTACAAATGGAACAACTGTGTAACTTATTGCTAGTTGAGTTGCCATCCATGTTATAATATCATAACACAGTTTAACAGCAGGAGATTCAACAAAATAGTGTCTGATATTGTTTCTTATCTGAAAAAGCAGACAAGATTAAGTTAGCTTAGGAATAAACTTTGAGAGCTATCATACTGTGCAGTTTGTTGCACTTCCATAATTCATATGACTAATTTAAATGTTAGTTTGGTCAAGTATCTTCAAACTATTCAAAATACGCATTGACTTCAATAGGAGCAAGTTCAAATTCCCTGCCTTTTATGATAGTGTGCTTCATCCAGCACAGGAATTTAAGTATTTATGAATTTAAGCAGAATTTAAATAAATTAGTCCCCCCCTAGATCCAATGTGACTTTGGACTACTTGTCTGAACGAGGCAGACATTCTGTTCTATAAATATAGAGTGTCGGAGTAAGTGAAAGCCAGAATGCTTCCATCCAAAGCTTCTATATGGCAAGCCATGTTCACATACTTGCTAGTAAGATGTGTTTTAGGACAAGTAGGGTATAAATCAGAATATACAAAATATCAGTTCCAATGACATTTCAGGAGTCTTTATAACAATATCAAGTGCAACTATTATCAAAGGACTATTTTCTATGCTCAGGCTTATTTTGTTTATAAAATTCTGTTCAAACAATGGAATACCAAAGGTATTTAAAAAAAATCCGGCACAGGTCTGGGTTCAGTTTTATTTAAGTCTACAGTTAAAAAGACAGCAGTAGATCTTTGCCCCTCCTTCCTTTGACTGAACTGCCAATTCTTGTTCACACTCTTATTTGCTGGCAAGCCAAGATGGGCTCAATTCAGCCTTTGTGTAGCTTGGTATCACAGTTGCCACCTCCCAACCACCCACACTGAGGTAGTCCTCCCTGAAAAGCTTCACAGCAAAGGACAGTCTAGCTTCTACTTCAGCTTCTTTAGAACTCGTGGTTCTGAAGAACACATGGAAGGCTAGCTTGTGCCTATTTCATTCTTTACATTAAAAACCTTTTTTACCCTTCTTGTCCTTCTTACCCAAATATCCCTGTAGGTATCACATTCCCACTCAGCCTTTGCCTAGTTAAGCTAAGTAGAACAAGTCATTCTGGCCACATACCCTTAACCCTACCATCTGCCATAGCTTTCTCCTATGGTCATATGCAATGATGTGTTCCTGAGTTCTGTAAAACTTGGATGAAGTTTCACAGAATTTCTTGTAGAGAAATGTAGTATTTTAGGACTTGAAGGACAACGCCTAAGATAAATCTATAATTGCCCCTAGTAAACACCTGATTATGAAATGTGTAATGATTAAAGAGAGTAAAACTAGTTGAATACATGCTTAGGCATGGCAGGAGGAGAAAGTGTGGGTCAGAGTAACCAAACTTTGCAGTCTTAATAAAGGCTAGTAGAGTTAAATAATAAACATGCTAAAGTACCTCTAGCATATCTTAACAGTTAATATTAAATCATAGAATCGTTTAGGTTGGAAAAGACCTTTAAGATCAAGTCCAACCGTTAGCCTAACCCTGCCATCCCACCACCAAACCACATCCCTAAGTGCCTCATCTACCCATCTTTTAAATACCTCCAGGGATGGGGACTTGACCACTTCCTGGGCAGCCTGTTCCAATGCTTGACAAAGTAACTGTCCATACAGAAACTAACAATATTTTTATTTTGTAGCCTACTGATTGATACATATGAAATGAGAATACAAACACAGCTTTCTAGCGAAGCCCAGGATGATGTGCAGTGAGCACTCTGATTTACTGGACTCACCTTACTGAGAGAACAACTTTTACCTGTGAATTGTCCCTGAATCTTGGCTTTTGCACCAGCCACTAGCTGATAAACGTCAGAAGTTCACTGTGATAGAGTCTGGAAAGGAGGGACCTATACCTCTTGTAAAGAAAGGAGTCAATTCTGTCAAGCAAGGACTATACCCACACCTTTGTGAAGAAAGAGGAGGAGCATCTGGTTTATTACTGTTAGTAACAATCTAAATCTGAAGTACCACATTCCCCTAGCTATTACAGCAACAAAGAGCAGTCTGCTTAATTTCTCATTCTCCTGGTTCTGTTGACAGAAAAGTGGTCTGTTATTCTGCTCTGAGCTGGCAGCTATTTTTTTGTTCATCTTTCCCCCTGAGTAACTGATAAAACCGTCTCTGTTCTTACTCAGCTTTCTCAAGCAAGACAGACTTATCAATAATCATTCCCACTGCTCTCATAACTAAAAAAAGGAAACAAAACTATCAGACAGATTGTTTGCCTGTCAACTGTAAATTGTATCTTTGGACTACAGAACACAATTTTCTTTCACAGAACTACTTATTATTTAAGATACTTGGTTGGTACTTACAGCTCGTGCTGCTAGTGTCATTAGCACTCCTGTTAAAAATGTTAAATAATATCCTGGGTAAACCCCATGCCAAATGGCAGAGAGGATGAAGGTTTGGATCGTTGGGCTGAAGGTGGCTCGCTCATAGCACACTCTAGCAAGTCAAAGACAATTTGAGATAAGTAACATGAGACACGGATCACCAACAATCTTCCCAGTTTTATACATTTATACTTTCAGCAGTTTCATCTCCAACACATAATTTGCAATGGAACTGCAGTTTACTGTTATTTAATAATGTCACCACTATATTATGACTTACAGAAAATACTTAAAGCTATTCACAGCTCCTGATTTAACCCCTCAGCTCTAACCTATGCTCAGTGCCATCACATATGGTACTTATTTATGGTGAAGTGACACAGAAGCGTCTGAAGACGGGTGTTGGTGTTCATAAGGGATCTTGAGCCATTCAAGAACACGTCTGAAAAGCTAATGCTGGAAGGTACAGACTCTCCTGCAAACTCTTGCAATGAGTCAAATATATATTTTTCATAAAATGAAAGCAGCTTATAGGAGAAGGGAAAAAGTAACAACCAGCTTCAATTTTGAGTAATAGAGAGACTACAGTTGAAAATGTGTCTGTGTACGGCAATTAGGTGAACATGATGATGAAATTATAATTAATGACTCTAGGGATGTGAGAATATCAAATAAGGAGGAATGCTAAACTCTGCTATTTAAAAACTGAGACTTGAATTGGTAGGCAAGGTCCTACAGTAAGGAATTCTAGAAGGAAGAAGGGAAACAGGAATCCAAGAAAAGTAGTTTCTAGAAGACAACATTACGTGACACAACAACAAACCATCATCATGTGGAAGAATGATAGGAAACATGGTAAGGTCCTGATATGGCTTCATCAAGAGTTCTTTAAAGTCTTTAATGATCTGAAAACCAAAAAGCAATAGGAAATATGGAAACAGATGCACACTAACATGAAGCAAAAATCAACAGCACAAGCATGCATGAACATAAATCTGATGCTAACATACAAAAATGAGTTTTAACTAAAAAAGGTCATAGACACCAATATGTTAAAAGGTTTTATAAACACATAGCAAGTAACAGAGAGAGAGAGAAGAGAATGGATATCTATTATTCAAAGAGGAAGACAGGCTAACGATACAGAGGGCCGAAATATTCACTACTAATGTTTGTACTTTACTACAACTTCTGTATACACAAAAGATTGCTGAGACCAAATGATACAGTCAACGTTAAAGAGCAGAAGGTAAAAAGGCAGGATCTGGAAAAAAGTGCAGGGTACCAGCAGAGCCCCCCTCCTTGCCAAAGGGCTTCACTAGCAATGCTGTTAAGATGAGAACATGGGCCTGAGTAGAGCGCAGGTGCATGCATGCGTAATACACAAAACTACCTGAGGACATTTGCCCACAACAGATTATCTTAAAGAGGAATGCAACATTGGCCAGACTAAACAGTAACCAGGGAATTTCAAAGAGACTTTAGGAACAAAGAAGGTGTCGGCCTAGAAAGTAGAAAAGCCCTAGGAAAATTTTGTACAAAGTCAGGGGGACACCTTGGAGCAAAATATTAGCCATCAAAACCTGGTTTGACACTGCCAGAAGCCTCCCCACCAACATCATGACCTCTGTCTCGGCCAAGACAGAGCATCTTCCCTGGTAGACACAGAGTAGCCTGCAGCCAGCTAGAGGACTGTCAGCGCAGTAAGCAGTATGCAGGGAGCAGTATCTCATCCCTGTTAGCCACGTGCACGTGAACTCGTGGCACGCTTTTCTAATTGGCACATGAATCAGCTGTAGTTTTGCAACCCACGTGTCCTTTTGGGAGTGGAGGTTTGCACATAGCCTGTGTGTGCATGTGTGTTTTTTTAAACTCTTTGGGATTAGTTACAGAAGAGTGTTTAGAAATTTGTTTATTAAGCTACAACACTAAGTGCTTACAAAATGTTGTCTGTTCTAGTACTGATATTAACTCTGAATGTATATTTCACTGACTGGTGGTTAATTATGTCTTGTTAATAAACTGATAAATGGCTTCAATCTTTATTTTGGTTTAAACTACTTTAAGCAGATTTTTCCCTGCAAAGCATTCAGGAGCTAACAAAACTACCTAAATTAACTAATGAAATTTCAGCTATATCAATGCATGTCAGATAAGATCTATACTAGGAAAAAAACCCATCAGGCTTCAATATCAAAGAGTTAAAAGTAAGATTAAAGACTCCTCCAAGGATCTGTCAATAATAAATCGTGTTGAAATGCTTCATTTGACATTCCTAAAAGCAAAACAAGGAAATATGGTCATCACAACAGGCTGAGAAAATCTGTTCAAATATGGGTGGCTCAGGTTATCTGTGATTTGCTCTAGAAGAGGGAAGATGCATCAACTGGCCAGCAAGGTACTCCCCTTGGCCACCTGGTTCTATGCTTTCATTACTAGCTTGGGCGGTAGACTGAGCAGCATATTTTTCCACCCTGCCTTCCCTTCCTTTTTTGGGTGTGCGTGTGGAAGGGGCAGAGGGGACAAAAGAGATTGGCTTTATTTTCTTAACAGATAGAGCACTAGAATCCACAATTATCTTGACAGACTCAAATGATGTTCTGATATCAAGAAGATGAAGTCCAAAGTCTAGAACACCTAAGAAGAGAAGCGGAAGATACAAAGCTATACGCATCCATTTAACATCACTGAAGGAGTGTAGCTGAGCATGAATATGAATCAACAGTATGAAACACTGAGTATCAGCTGAGCATGAATCAACACTAGATTGCTGCTGCAAAAAAAGACAAATGTGATGTATTAGTAAGAGTTATCTAAACAAAAGAAAGGTAATTAATCCACTCAAAGCACTCAACTCTGCCTTTAACAATCCAGGGAAAGACTTTAGAGGTCTTAGCAGAAGCACTGCAAGCACTGTAAGATGACAGGATGTTTGGAAAGAAGCCAGAAGAGAGCAACAAGAACCAAAAGGGATTAGATGTTTTCTTTGGAAAAAAATCAATGAACAGGCTGAGGGGGAACAAAACAGCTTCCACAGTCAGGAAACATTATCATGATATATATTGTTGATATAAGCTGCTATGTAAATATCTATTTTAACTTGCATGCTTGTAACAATAATACCCTTGAACTGCTGTATTTTGTGATCTACATTAAGTGTTTATTAAACATCTTTATGATCTGTAGATGGTTAACCATGTTTTTACAAAGGGTGTGTTTTTACACACAATTAGGGTTTAAGTTTGGTTCCTCTTTCAAGAGTATCAGAAAAGAACAGAATGAATGCTGACATCTGATATTTCTGTGTTTCCTGCGAGATAAATGCCTAAGATTTTAGATACTTCCATAAATGGTAAACAGGTGAGGTATTAAAAGTGGATGTTTAAAGTAATACCAGAGCTTGTCCTCTATTCAAACATTGCAACTAACCATATTACTGGCAATAAAATATATACTCTGGATCAATGCCTCATATATAATCATTAAAACATCATAGTTGTAACAAAAAAAAAGAAAACATCCACCCTTCTCTCTTTCGCTGTGGCAGAATCAATATGTATTTAGACTACCCTAAAAGATTCTTCTATAACTGTTCTTAAAAAGTTAAGAGTAATTAATTGTTCTTAAATTGAACTTAATATTTGTTGAGACATGCTTCAATTTTTCTTTGCATCTTCTTTTAATATCACCCTGAACAATTCATTTGCATTTTTTTCTTTCAGTTCCTAACAGAAATGGTACTCATCTCCACTAAAAGGAGTTTTAGTTTAACATCATTCAATTTAGGAGCTTTCAAAGTTTGTTGGAGCACAACCTTGTCCTATTAATTTTTAATACTGACAAACTTCTGTTCTCTAAATAAATTAAAATGCATTTTTAAAAAAAGCTTATTTGCTTTATTAAATGATACATTTCAATACCTGCAAGTATACAATACTTCCTTACTGACTGCCCAGCAACAGATTCTATTGCCTATTGAGCCAGCTAGAACAATCGCATACATTTCAATTTCTGTTTCCAGTTGGGTCAGAAGAATATTTAGGGAAGAAATTACGGAAGACAGAGAATACACTATAAAGAAATTTGTTGGAAGCAACATCCTGTTGCCAGTCATCCTAGAATAAGAGATCCTCTGAGTGATGCCAAGATGGGGGTCTCAGTTAAACTCACACCTATTGATAAAAGATCATCTACACAGAGACTGGGAGAAGTGAAACAACATCTCTCTACTACTCAAGAACACTTTTTTACTTTCTAGTTACCACAAAGAGGTAGTAAAAGCAGAAGTAAAAATCAAGTGATTTAGTTCACTGGACACTATACCCATTTCCCACACAAGGAAAAAAGCGTATGAGGGATACTTATTTGCAATTTTTTTTTGATAGCACATTGTAGGGTTTGATATTTGCCATGCACTCATTACAGGAGGAGTGCAGAAAGTTCTTTCACAGAATGTATGGAAGTTCCTGTATTACTGTGTGGCTTAAAAAAAAAAAAAAAAAAAAAAAAAAAAAAAGAAAGCAGAGTTTCCACAAGCTGGCAAGCCAAAGATGTGCATTTTGCCTACTGCTCTCAGAAACCTGCATGGCTTTGAATGCCAAGAGGGGGGGGGAAAAAAAAAAAAAAAGACACATCTCCACAGAGTAATACTTTTAGGTTCCCTATGACCAGTGAAGAAAAACAGTTTCTAGCATTACCTGATACTTTACACTAAGAGAGAAGTGCTAAATTCAGAGACTTTAATTCAAGTGTTGTAAGTAGAACGTCCCATGCAGTTGCTAAACAACCGTAGTGTTTTGTGGGGTTTAGCTTTAAATGTTAAATTATCTTCAAAGACATATTTATCCAAAAAACTTCATTGGAGAACAGCTTTCCTGTAAGAAATAAATACCTTTTAAGCCAAAGCGCTGTTTGGATATTCCAGTTATCAAGAAACATCTTGAAACTTGTGGAAAACTGTAAAGCAAAAACAAAGTAGTTATTTCCGTAATTGTAAAACATTACAAAATATTTCAGAATTCTGACATAGACATTATTAAAAAATCCCTACTTTGTGATGAGTTGAATAAGGTATTTACTCAACTACTTATAACCACAAAATATTTTGGAAGTCAACTGACAAGTAGAACATATTCAGAACAGATTCTGTTTTCCATCCTTTCCTAAGGGTTTGAACACATCATTTCTGACTTAGAACTTATTCACTATTTTGACAAACAAAACACACAGGAAAAGTTACTGAAATTACAAGCAACTACCTACATGGGCATGCATTTTATTTGAAAGAGCCATGAACAAACCTCTATTTGCTGGATTCTCAGATTTGATATTAGATCCCAACGTGTAACTCCATTTTTATCATAGCCTCTAAAGCCAAACCCTGCTGCATTATTAATTGCATCTGCTGCAATGAAACAAAAAGAAACAAGTGAATTATAAACTGCCTGTATTACAAATTGTGCATCACACAAGATGTAGTTAGTTTAAAATATTTATCGCATCATAAAGGCTACATATTTATTTTTTTTAATACTGAACAAACAGAAAATAAATAACCCAAGCAATACGCTGGCTTTCAATCAAATAACTCGTACAAAAGCAAATGAATGAGAGGCAGTGCTATCGACTTTACAGTACTGGCATCCCCCTCTCATACCACCTACTTAGGACTTGCTTGAGCAATCTGACAGAAAAACAAACTCAGTGAGATGCATCAAGACCACGAAACAGTGGCTGGTTGTAACGATCTGAGACAGCAGCTCCACACTCAGATGCATGTCTTTGGTCTTCATTATGCAGCAGTGATATTTAAAGCATAAAGATAAAAATTGCACGATTCACTTCAAGCAGGTGCACATTTACAGCACCATACAGAGCAGCGCAAACCTAATAGAAGAAAACAGTAATTTACAAAGCAATGCAGGGTTTGTCAGGTTTCCACTAATGGCACAAGTCCACTGCTAACACCACTTCTGAACATGAAGTGTTTACAAGTGTATGTCAAACATCAAATAGTTCAAAGCAAACAATATTTTTCCCTAGGAGAAAAAGCTGCTACCATCACCTGGACGATGTAGGAAAATACAAGGGATCTCCATCTGAATATTGCCCATCCCTTTCTTTTTTTCATTGCCTTTGCTTCGACTTTGCTTTGCTTTCAGCTTTTTCAGACATTAACATTTCCTCAGCTGTACTTCTCAGATTAGGATGGCCACTTGCAAGGAAACAAGTTTTTTCTCCAAATACTGCCTCTGTTGAGCCAGGTGGTTGGTTGCATGCACCCAAACATGGACACACATCCATGAGGCGTGAACCCAACCCTGCATCCACCTGCATGGGTAAGGGACCATGGGGAGAAGAATGGCAGCTCCCCTCCCAGTTCAGAGGAGTCCCGGGGAACTGGAAGCAAGGTAGGCAAAAGGCTCTGCAGAAGTAACACGGATCAATCTAGTCCTCTGATCACAGGACACAAGCCCCTTGTTAGCTCAGAATTCATCTAAAGCATTGTAATTTAAAAGGTGACAGTCTAATTGCAGCTAACAAGGCAAGAGAAATTGCTCAGTTTGTATTACCATATTAAAAAAGAATTTGTACAATAGTGACTTGTAAGAGAAATTAATATATTTTGCATTTTCCTTTCTTATTAATAACTTTTTCAAGGTATTAACCCAGTATATTTGGAATGTAAAAGAACCAATTGACTCAAACAGTTCCTTTCCTGAAGTTCAGTTTCTCTAGTTATCTACCACTCTGGAAGAGGGCTTTGTGACATTTTATTTAATAGAGCGTAATTTATAATATTTTTATTTCCTCATCAATAACAATTTTAAAAAACATCTTTGAATGCAACAGAATTTGCTGCTATAGATCTGATATCACTGATGTAAACTTCAAACATTAGACAGTGATTTTATGCTCAGTTAGAAACAGCTGAAGACATGAACTCCATAATCTCATTAGCTAGAGCACAAAGACTACAGCTAGACTAAGTACTCATTTTATTAGCTAGCATTTTAGTAAGTATTCATTTTAAATAATTCGTTTTATTAATAGATTTTTTTTTCTTAAGTGCAAAGAATAGCAGTGTACAACTGAAAAGCATAACATCCAGTAAGACTGTTAAAGCCCCTTCACATTCCACTCATACCATTAGAAGTTTAGATGAGGTAAAGTGGAAAGAAGAAAGTAAAACAAAGCTATTTAGCAAACAAAGTACAGAGTTGATATAGTTTATTTTCTTCACTATTTTACCAAAGGAATGCTAGCTCCACATTGCTAGCAAGCACATAAAGACAAATCCACCTGAAATATTACAGGGAAAAAGACACCAACAAAGATTACTCATTTTTCAGATGACTCCTACTCTTTCCAGACGATGATACTGGTGCATAAAAGCACAATATTCGAAATAATTTCATTCCACAACAAGCCCCAGAATTACTATATCCAGACAAGCTGAAAGCACTTCATTCATTGACCAGGAATGAAACCAGCAGCTGTAAATGAGTCATGCTGCTCTGCTACACTAAGGCTTTCTTTATTGCATTGTTTCCCACAGATTCCCTCTCAAAAGAATTATGAAAAAAAATATGCAGAGTTGGAGAGGAGGAGGAAGCTGATGAAATCTGGTTTGTGAATCAATTCCAAGATGTCAGCTTACACAAATACAGCATTTTGCTGTTGTATGTGTTGTTTTTGTCAAATAATGTGAAGTGAAAAGCAAAACATTCGTTAAACTATATCTTCTATTCAGTGTCTTAAATCAGTGACTATGGATGTTATCCCATCAGTCAATTAGAACTTTTAGTGAACAAAAGACTAGAACTGAAGTGTCACCCACCAAACTCTGAAAATACTACTGCGAATCTACTATTAACAACACTATGATATATCTGAATTTCAATATATTCATTTTTCCTTCACACTTCAATAACATCAAGCAAATTACTGATAACTAACCACAGAAAGAGGTTTAGAAAAACTTTCCAAATATGCCAAAATAAACATTTAAAAAAAAAAAAAAACCAACCCCCAAAAAATGCCAAAACAAAACCCAAAAAAACCCCAAACCAAACCCCTGGGATTGTATGTCAGACTAGATTTATTGTAATTTTTAAAACACAAAAAAGTAATTGCTCATTAAGACTGTCACTCTCCAAAAACCTTCTGTTTCACTCAGACTTGTCAGGAGACCATGATCTCATTTGCCACACTGTCACAACACTGTGCTTTGGTAAGTTGGTAAGTTTTACTTCTCAAAAAGAGAGACACCATTCAATATACTTTGACAATACCTCATAATACTTAAATGTAATAATGCTTTCCAAAGGCCTCAAGAGGGCACTATCACTTTTTAATACATACTTAGTGTGCAGCATCTCAAATGAAACTTAATACATACACTTTCTTTTATATTTTTAATATACGTACTTACCTAAAGTCCATGCAAAATAATACTTGGGTCTGGCAGCCATAAGAGACACATATAGGTAGAAAAGCCTTACAGGCCATGATGCTGTAGCTCTGAAGTTATCGTCAATGTTGTATTCCACAGGCAAAGTTTTTGTAATAGTCATGTGGAAGAGTAAGGACAGTCCACAGATTAAGAGTTTCTGTGCCACAGCTATCTGAAAAGTTTAAGATGGGAGACTTTGTAAGCTTCATTTTTTGTTCCTCTTCAAGAAACAAAGGCAAGTTATAATCTTTCTTCCCTAAATAGATATATAGAGATATATATACATAAATTTTTCAGTATTATATACTACCAACTTTAAAATAGTTGGTAACATTTTATGGATGCTCAAGGAATATGACTTTCTTGATTAAGTTGTAAGCACCACTTCTGGCAAAGACAGAAAATCCAGTCTGACTACAGGGAGTCTGTAAAAACCCTTTCAATAATGGGAACATCTTTTGCAACTCCAGTTTTTTCTTATTCCATTGTCAAATTACTGAAGCAAGTAAGTTGCTGAGACACAAAGCATATGATCTAGGAGGAGATGAGTACAATTATTGCTGAGACTGCAAAAACCATGGCACAAGCTTCAGTTAATTTCCAGTAATCTTTGGCATAATGCAGGTGTTCAGTTGCTGCCCAACTCAATATATCACTTATCTCTGTTAAATTATTACAATACGTAAATTCTAGACCAACTAAAATACTGAAATAATTTATGAACTTGCAGCCAAAATACCACAGTTCTATACAGACCTGTTTTCCCAGTTAGAGTGATCAAGCTGTAAATAATATGCTCACAAACACATGAAATCACATTGTTTAGGTAGGACCTGGACTCAAAGTTTTCTCAAAAATCAGTTTTGCTATAACCACCACACTAAAGAGTATGTATTTTTAGGAAAACATTTCTAAGGTTCCACTATAAAACACACAGAGCAATAACGCATGGCATTGTCTGGTCTGATCTGCGTCCCAAGGGCAGATACCACATTCTGTGCAAATTCCTAAAGTAACACACTAACCAAGCACCTACAAAAGAGAAGTTTGAGAGCTAGTTCATTTAAATGTAATTTTTACATTTTGATTGTAAGTAATCTCAGTATTTAAACATTACAATTTTAATTTAACTACAAGTCTACAAACACTAAACTTGGCAAAAAAACAATCGATCTAGCTATTTTCCTTTGAAGCATCAGAACAAGAAGATAACCAGAATCCTTTTTCTCTCCATCCTGCCTCCAGTATACCCACCCAACTTTTAAAGACAAGGCCCTGCTTCAATTATAGTGCAGCTTCACATATCTAGTTCCAAAAGAAAGAGTAATTCTGTTCCGTGATACAGAATGGAGCATTAAGTGTCCAACTGAAAACACAGATTTCTGTGAGACACCGTATCAAAGGTTCGCCCAGTCACACAGATGTAAGAGGTGGTACAACCTGATAAAAAACTAGACTTGGAAAAGCTGTAAAATGGTGAGGGTAGCTTTAGATATCGCACATATTTCATGGGGCTCATGTCAGAAGATATTTCAGAGGATCACAAAACCCAGCTAATTACCCAGACCAGCTGGATAATTCAGGAGGCAACTACCTATTAACAGCTAAAGCTGGTGTTTAATTATTTGTTTCTACTTGCTTTCTAATAAACCGCATTTTAATATTTTACTCTATTACAAGAGTTCAAAGTAAGGGGCATTAACTCTCCAAAAGCAGAGGGAATATTCAGTTGGCTTAACTCTTTCACAAATTTAAATAGACATGGATGTTCAGAAAATTGGTTTTTATTAACACTAATGAATCTTTAATTTTGGCATGCAATATCTGATACATACAAAAGTTAGATATTTGTAAATACCAAAAGGCATCACCCTAAAGTTCTGAAGACAGTTGAAAGGATTTAACTTCTGTCTAAGCCACAATTTAAAGTCATGTTCAATTTAGGCATGAGAAACAATATTTATAGGCCAGTAACATTAACATGCAACTTAAAATACTAACATGCAACTTCAAATATAAGCATAAACTTATAAAGCAGGTCTTTTCCATCTGAAGATCTCTACAAAGTCTCAGAATGTTTTGGCAACCTGCAAGTAACGTTGTCTCCGTTTAAAGGCCTGCTTTTTGCTGTTGTCACTATTTACCAGTTCTTCTGTTGGTAAATAAAAATCATTAATCAGCCTATTCAAGCCCACAATATGCTTAGTACTTCTGTGAAAGGTTTTAACCAAGTCATGGAGGTCAAAGCCCTTCTTTGAAGGAAAAGCAGAGTTTCAACAAAATTTATCTTACAAAAAAAATAATTAACTCATGCAGGGCTCTGCCATAAATTATACTTTTAAAAAATAAACTGCAGTCTTTTATTTGTAGTTGTAAAAATACCATAGGAGGGAAGGTGTTTCAATTTATTTATTAAGTATTTAAATGATGTATTTCTACTGGGTTTTTTAAACAGTAACATTTAGGGGTAGGGATAAGCATAACTACATCCAGAAACAGCATGACTTTTTAAAATTATGCTACTACACTCAATAATTATAAATCCCAGAAACCCAGTCAAGCATGCTGATACCACTTACAGGGGTCAGGATCAGGTATGTTAGTGTCCTTAGCAAACAGTGATGGAGATAATCTCCTGCCTCTACAAGGACTGGGAGCTGCAGTTTCAAGACTGGTTTAAGCAGAGTTTCTGAAGGACAATCCAAACACAGACTGCAACGCAAAGAAGCAGTCCTGCCCTGTCTCCTCACCTGGGCTGTATGTTTTTGCTCTTTTCCTTCTAGTGAGTCAGCTTAGAAAAAAAAAAAAAAATCAAGTAAAAATCTAGCCTTTGGGGTTTGCCTTTTTTTTTTTTTTTAATGACAAATTAGTTTTAGACTGGATCAAATGATCTGAATGAGACCATGACACAGTGTGATGCATGTTAACATTGCTACAGTAAGCAAAGGACCCAAACCCACAGCCAGGACCTACCTTATTCAGCAATAGTTTATACTTGTGTTGGCCTGAATCATTACGGAACTACAGCCTGAGGCTTGCTTACAGCACTCCAGTTTGAATACATTTACACAGAAACAGAAGTCTTTACCTGACACCAAAAGAATCTACAGTTCAATTATCTATAGAAATGCATTTGTTAAAACATGAATTCACTTCCTATTGCTTAATTAACTAGGTTATTGATACAAGCTTCTCTGCCAAGGCATAAAGGGGTAAGCACTGGACTGCAAATTCACAGGAGTGCTGGTCGGTATTTACAAGGATGAAGTAACTAATTCATAAGTTTGAAGTTTAATTTCATTCACTCTTTAAAGTTTTCAACATATCAAGCTGAGAAGTAACACCTGGTTATTATGGAAAAAGTAAAAAACTGCACTTCCCCAAAACAACTGTTCTGTTAAGAAACTAAAAGAACTTAAGCTATAGGATAACTGATCTCACATGAAGTAGAACATAAAATTTATTTTACAACAAAAAGGTAAAGAGGCTTGACTCATTCAGCTTTGACAAACAAAAACTGAGCCTACGTGTATAAAAATACCAAATAAGGCCAACACTGGGAAAGTAAAAAGGTACTTAACCTAAAAGACAGGGCCAGGACAAAACCATTTCATTCATTACATGGTAACATAATTAGGTTGAAAACTAGATTCTTAATCAGAGAAAGGAGTTGAGGAACAGCTTTCTAATTAAAGCAATAAAGGTAAAACATTCGCTGAGCTCAGGAATTTTATAAATATATTACTGTATAAACACATATAATGTATAGAAATATACACCAAAAAGCAGCAAAGTATCTTAACCCTTTATTTGAATGAATCTGTTACTCTTCTCTGTTAATAAATGATCAATAAGGAGCTCAATAAAACATTAGACTATGTTAAAGCCTATTATTTTGAGGAGGTTAGCACCTAAGGTAAAAATTACAGGTAATTAAGAAAGAACTTCATAGCCTGTAAGAAGAGCCTGCATAATAATCAAGAAAGCAGGTATCTGCTGACAGGAATCTTGTATTTGAAGGGTAGCCAGAATAAAAAGAAACTTACAAAGACAGATTATAATTTCTGAGAGTTGACACCACTTTGAGCACCAACAATTGATAGCTTGCAAAAAGGCACAATAGGAGGGATATAAGAAATAAGTTTTAATATGTTGACTTGACTCATTTAACATGCAGCGAACACAGCAAAAATACTAAACCAAATTAATGTCATGCAGTCAACACACAGTATAGAGGAGGAGGCTGGCATGAACTACTTTGGTTATGTAATTATATTTAACAAGAAATGAAACTTACTGTAACTCAGCTGAAGGATTTTTTTTTTCATTTATTACATTAACATTTGCTGATCCCCATTAAATTTCATTTTTTGAGTTACCTAACAATTTATTCTTCTTGAAATAACAACATGAGAATCAAGGAAGACATTTAAAGTATTAATATGAAGTTAATGGCATTTAAATATTCTTCTACAACACGATAATGAGTATTTTAATTGATGCAGCAAATGCAGTAAAATTATATCATCCGTATTTCTCCAAAAGCACACAATACTCACTGGTGTTATAAAATGCAGCCAGATTTCTCTAACACCAGTTGGGAGATGAAGTATCAACAGCATAGACAGCTTCTCTTTATTTATATGTCAAAAGCTAATGCAGCATAAATTGCAAAAAGTTTCAAGCGTCTTAACAGCAATTCATTCGAAGGAAAATTGCTTACCTGAAAGAAGAATCCGTCACAGGTTTACATTTATTTCTACTGACTTTGTTCAGATTGCTAGCAAGATTCTGTGGTAAAAAGCTGGGAAGTCCTACCAGGCAATCAGTAGAGGCATGTCCAGAAGTACTGATACTGGCAGATTTGGTTAGTTCCATTTATTTGCAATAATTTTACTACACTGTTTTTCTGCAGAATTAGGATTTTAATACATCAGATGTGATGCCTGTACTGATCCAACGTGGTATTTAAAAACAAAAGTGTCTGCCACTTTGTCAATACAACGCATCAGTGCAGACTACAGACTATGAGGTGCCAATATATGCAAGGAAGTCTCTGGTGCGTTTTTCCCTTCCTGAGTACTTGCTCCACAGCACGCTTCTATGAACTTAGGTAATTTGTCAACATGTGGAGAGGTTTAAAATGTTATCATCCTCCAGCCAGTAGTTTACATTCCTGTGGTGCAAGTTACTACAACCACACAAGGCTGGTAGAATGGAACGTGCAAAGAGTCCTCATCCACATTCAAAGGATGGAAGTGGCTGGAGATGACACAACTGATAGGGAAGCACTCCCTGTTAGCCCAGCTGTGGGGATGGTAACCTCCAGATGGTAGGACGTGACAAGCAGCTACATGTGCAAATACCTTCATCTGCTCCAGCAACAGTTGGTGGTGCACAAGATAAGCATAAAACAGATAACTGGCGCTGGAAATAGCGAAAGCCATTTATTTGAAGTATTCCAGTTGACTCCATACTAATTCTGCTTTTTGTGTGTGGTACTAATTATCTTAGGCACACACAAATTTAAGAGTCTGATACATTCTTATTTAAGAAAATATGAAAAGAGTGAAAAGATAATATTCCATACCCTGAGCATTAAACTAATTGGATTAAAAGTAACAAGCTTTGGGAGCTTTTGATTTTAATTCAGGCCATACAATATCTCTTGTAAGGTATGATCAACTGGATTTTCTTCTGTATGTATTTGGTCTCTTTTCCAATAATGGAACAAAGAGAAAAAAGAAATATGTTGTCTGGATTACTAGCCATAGCGTTATGGCTAGTACCTCTTCTACTACACCTTCAAATCAAAATCCATCTTTAATACTTCTCTACATGAATGAAAGCAAGAAAAATCAAACTATTTTTATGAGCATTTTTAAACTTGTTAAATATGAATTTTTCCTACTTGCTGCAAGATGACATCAAAAAACAGTGGAATTTGATGATGTTCACGAAACCTTGAACTTTTAAGTCACATCAGTTTCCAACTGACAAAACGTGCACTTCGTCTTTGCCAGGACTTTTTTTTTTTATGTACAATATATGCTTTGAAGGAAACATGCATGAACTGTTTTCATTTAAAGATGGCTTTTTACCATATAAGCTTGTTAGGAAGCTCCAATTTAATCTGCTTTTATCCACAAGATCCAGACTGGAAACCATGGAGGAAACCTGCCTTAAAAAAATATGTATTTAGCTTTTTGAACGGGGAACTATACTGTTGATGAATGAACTCCAGATACAGCTCAGAAGTTATGCCTGTAAATGAACAGTGCAAACCAAGCTTTTCATGCAATGATTACATAAGCATCGGCACTGCAAGAGTCATACATCTTACATTTGGAGAAGGATCCGTTTGTTCATATTTTGTATCTTCCTTCCCATTTGCTTCAGACTGTTGCAGTTGGTATGATCTGCCTTCAATGAAAGTAATATAGTCTTTGTAAGAGCATAACGGGCCTGCCAGGATACCCATGAAATTACAGTTGTAACTTAAATACTCCAGTAGACTTGGCATGCGTCTGTAATTCAAAGACAAGCAACTCGTGAGATGGAATGTGTAGTTCTACAGAATTTCGACAGTAGGAAAAGTAGTACTCCATGTCACCGCTTACTCTAATGGCAGTAAAAACCACATGTAGAAAAGCAGTTTGTGTATCTTTTGTAATCACAGCTTAAAACATTCTACACATAGTATTTCTTTCCAAATCCGTACTGAGCATTTTCAGACTGATCCCCTGAACTCTGGTGTTTCTCTCCTTGCCCAGTAGAGGTGTTTGGCTGAAGATAAGCCTGGGGAAGGAGAAGGAAGGGTGTTCCCCTAAGTTTTTGTTCAACTATTTGTTTTCTTTTTTTTTCCCCCACAATAACTGAATCAGTAAACAAAGGTTTGCATGAACTGGCAATAATTTCAGTTAAGGAAAATGCCTCAAGTCAAGACTATTTTGCCCAGGACAACATACTATTTTCAAGTCTCCTGAATAAAGGAGAAAAGGTAAGTTAAATACTGAAAAACAGAATTAAATCAAGCATGCTCCTTCACCAGCTACTTTATATGTGTACTAAACTAACTACTCTGCTGTCTGATATGGCATTATTTGCCTAGATTGCACAGAACTTAGAATGTTTTACACAAGTATAAAACCTACTTGTAGTGGTATTTTCCAGTAGAACCAATGCATGAACTAAGCTATGATATAAAAAGCATGGATCTGTTTTTCAAGATACTGTTCACAAACTCATGTATGTGAACTGTAGCAATTCCACAGAGTATTAATAAAGCACACAAAACACCAGCTTCTCCCCATCCCCAAAACTAGACTCCCAGAGATGTCTGAAAGCCTACCTTACAGCCAAGCACCTCTGTGTTGGAGTCAAATCTTCATTCTTCCGAAACATTCCTAGGGAGAAGAGGAGAGGAAAAAGGAAAAATAAAGAAAAGCTAAAACCCCCACCTTAATTAGCAGTTTCTTTACTCAGTAGAACAAGCCTCATAGTGCAATGTAATTTCTTAAGTCCTCAAGTTATTTCAGAGGTATTACGTCACATAACATTTTTGCTGGACTTGGCTCAAACAATTCTTACTGTTGACAAAATTACGAACTTTCATATCCTCAGTTATATCTAACAGTGCCTAAACCTGAAATCCCATCAGCTTCAGGAAAGCATTAAGGCAGCTTGTAATAAGCGTTGACAAATACAATTCCCATACATTGGTTAAGATTTCAAAGTCTGCAGGTTTTAAAACTCTTTATTTCCAATCCTGGAAGTTGGACAAGCCCGAAACCCCTTTCAACATTGCAGTAAGCCGGGGTATTAGTCATTGCACTTTTGGTGTATAGGATGAACACAGTCCAAGATAGATTTAAGCCATTCAAAACTTAAGGCATACCTGAAGAGCACCTTCCTGCTGCAAGTAAAGATTGTGAACAAGGTCCACAAGGCACAACAGTAAAGGGCACGGAAGTCTTTTTCACGAGCACTAACGAGAAGCCTTAACCCCTGCTAGCAGAAGGGAGCAGGCCAAGTCTAAGTTCATCGGTAAGACTGAATTTGCCTTCTTGCCATACAATGCACTTTCTGAAATGCTAGTGGCCTACCCCCGAAAAAAAGGCTTCAAAATTTGTACTCCCATAAAAGAGAAAAGTAAAAAATATGACCTTCAACACTTGAAATTATTATAAACTACACTAATTCAGGGGCACAAAAGAAGCAGAGCGCCTTCCTTCAGACAGCCCTGGTTTATACCAACCAGCACTGCTTGCCAGAACGACTGCTTCAGCTCCCCCTGCAGCCACTCCGCTGGTTCAGACATTAGCGCATCCATCCATTCCCTGCTATTCACATTTGCAAGTCTTATCTGCCATTGTAAGCACTAAAAAAATTTATTTTTATGAGCATAGCTTCCTAAAGGAAGTGAAGTTTATGCATTCCCACTTCACTTATCTTCCTCCCCAGCAGTGCCTAAACCCAACAGCCAATTTCTAACCAAGTATGTTGAAAGAGTAAAGGTAATATAGATACGAAATCCTAATGTGCTTTATGAAAATAGGTGATTCTATAGAAGATCCTCCTCCACTCACAGAAAGGTTTCCTTCAACCCCACACCTTGATGCCAGTAAATCCACAGAGGGGAGCCCTTATATTTCATCCAAACATAAGGGCAACTTTAACTGGAGCCAGGTTTTTTTTAGGTATCAAAATCAGTCAGGCTTAAGACAAAAAAATATTTGGGGGTGGAGAGGAAGTCAAACCTCATTTAATTCTATGACTCATTATTAGAAATATTCATTATCTAAAGAGAAGATAACTGTTGTCTTTGTGTGACTCCATGAACCATTACCTGTACACGCTTACTGCTCTAAAACTGCACTTTTAGTTTTCAAGAAAGCTGAGAATACAGAGGGGTAAGCAATTTGTCATCTCCTCTCTTCCAGTATGACCTGGAAAAATACCTTCCTCGGCCCTGATCCTTCACAGTGGAAAGTCACCCCCATTCATACCGTTCATATTTAAGGCAAGAAACTGAAGGACAAAGCATCACCCCTAACTTCATGCAGGCACTTTCTCTTCCCCGTCATTATGTTTTCACATCATCTTCTTGGTGCTACAGCAAAGATTTCTACACTGATAACTGCACTGAATAAAAAAAATGTGGGAAAATCATTTTGAAAGGTCCTTTAACCTTTAAGACCATAAGATTACAGTTCTCAGGTAGTGAATCTTTGAATTTAACACAAACTTAAACAGAAATTTAAGACAAAGACACCTATAGATAGATGTAGCTCTATACAACACAAACCAGCCAGAGCATGAGTCTCCTTCACTGTTATATTCCATGAGTATTTTACCCTTAAGTCAGAAAGAGGAAGCAGTCACCAAGTGTGTCCAAATGAACTCACATAAAGACAGAATAACCACTAAATAAAGGTAATTAGTCAAATGAAAGATTTCACATCATTTATGTGGTATGAAAAAAGAGGAAAAAACCTCAAACTTGAAATAGAAGAATCTAGGCACAGAAATATGACCTATACTTTTGAAGGAAGAAATAATTGGCATATTTAAAATGGGTTCAAGTTATATACATACACGGGAAATAACTTAAGGCCTAAATAACCTGGTGAGCAATACACTTGCTGTCTCAAACATACTGCATACAAGTAAATCTCCATTAATTTTTCATTTCCCTATCTCACTAAGATTTCCCTCCAGCCAGCAGCTTCTTTGAGGTCAGTCCAGTGGCTTTCCCTGTTTTCGTGTTTTTGGGTTTGTTTTTTTCTTTCTTTAAATGTCTTCTCAGTGCCCTAACAACCCATTTATCATCTTTGCATAGCACACAAGAACAAGGAAACCATTGATCTCTGCCTCTGTGATACTCTTGAAAGCTTTTAGGCAGCTACTGTTAACATTTTTTAATTCATAGAAAATGCATATGGAAAAGGTGATCTTCCATTGATGCTTATCTAATATGAAATGAATTAATAAATATACATTCAATACTTCCCAGGCCATGTATCTGCCCATGGAAACAGAGGCCTCAGTAAATCATAGCTGTTCCCCACCTACTACGCATTGGAGATGAAGAAACCCCACTTCAGCAGCACGCCGCTGCTAGGGAACTCGGGAAATTTTGTAACCTTTCTCTGGGGATTATGAGAATTGTTTTCTCCTGTCCTAAAGCAGGAGACTACTGCAATGGCTGCAGTTTTTAGTTGCTACCAAATCACACAGCAGGCATTAGAGAAAATAGGTTTTATCAAACATCTGTTAGAGAGGTGAAATCATTTGGTCACTCAGCAACTATAACTTGGTTTTCTCATCTATGAAGTAGGAAATATTCCTACATTCCCTCCTTGGTAAAAGAATTTTGTAAATCACTGGTAACAAAATTTATCCCCAGTGGTCTAGATCATAATCAAGTTGCATCTTTCCATTCCTCCACAGGAGACCACAACCTAATGGTAACAAAATCAACGTGTTTAGGTACACACCAATATCCTGCCATAAAGGCTTCATTAAGGCATGCTATGACTACTACCATGCTCTCACTATGATAATAGAATTTTTACAAGCATATCACAGCACCACCCCAGCTTTGCAGTTAATCTGCTTGAATATATCCACCTTTGCATCTCCATGAAATCTGGCTAATCAGTAACTCATTAATAATGCTTAGACATAAGATTATATTACATTAATAATACTTAAACATGGAGATACCACATTTACTGTTGTGATGACAGTAAATTTTGAGTTTCTGAAATGGATCACCAGGTAAGCCCAAATGTATGCTGTTATTAAAATATTTTTAAGACCTGAAGACAAACAATAACAGTTTTAGTTGTTACTAGCACATAAGCAGCAAAAGCAGACACACACAGATGCCAGCTAACTAAAATTGCAAAGAAACTACAAAAAGCAAGAAGTCTTGATATCCAAAGAGCCATGCAAGCAAATATAGGCCCAGAACAATACTTGAAGACTTAGGAGGAGAGAAATACAATATAATTCTTTTAAACACTAATGACATGTACTGTAATCAAAGTGATTTGGTAACTGATACCGAAACAATAATGACCATGCTGTCACTTACACAAGAGGGAGCACTTAAAAAAAAAATATATATATATATATATAACCATAGAGATCGAGAGACAATTAGAGAGAGAGAGAGAGCATTAAAAGAAATTCCTAGACATAAGAAGAAAGCATCAAGTCACCAAAAAAAACCCAAAAAACCAAAAAACCAACACACACACACACACACTACCACCCCATGGCAGTTTCACTGACATAAATAACAGACGAATTAGAAAACAACACTCCTGGTTAAACAGCTGCAACTTTTTTGCTGTAATATCAGCATTTATGAAGTGGAACTGGGTCATGATGACCTCTCAAAAATCCTTAAGACTATTTAGGTCTACATACATAAGGACACATTTCTCTGTCTCAAGTTTCTCCTGCTTATACCTCCACAACAGCAACCATTGAAATACACTTTTAAAAAGACATAATAATAATAATAGGCCTATCTGAAATCAGAAAAGCACATTGACAGTTCGAGGCCTTTATTTTCATAAACATAACATTCTTGACTGATTACCAGTCACTACAACAAAAAACCCCACTTACTCGCAGAAGTAAGTTGGCCAAAACACAGTATGTTCCCTTTTAGCATGGGGTCACATTGTGACAATCAGCAATTCAGCCTGATAATTGTGGTTTTGTTTTGTAGGTATTTATTTTAAATACATTTGAAACATCACATCTAATGTACAAAAATACATAGGCTGTTCAACACTTCAGTACATCCACATTTCCATGCTTTAAGCCAAAGCAGGCCAACACTAAAGTTGTCTGCAAGCCTCTAGAAAGATGTAACGTCTTTTTGCTGAATGTGGGAATTATTTGAGAGAAATAAAAGGCAAAGAATATAGTTAACTGAAAACAAAGAAGAAATCTTTGTGTCAACTAAATCAAGAAACACTGTTCAATACTTCTGACACTATTACATTGCTCAAGAAGAGCTAATAAAACCACTGCTACCAACGTAACAGCAGGTACTGCAGTTTCAATGGAACTGCTCATTAGCTGCAAGCCAACAAGAAATTCACTTTCCAACTAAAAAAAAAAGCATTGTCTGAAAAACCTCCCAAGTGTACAGTGTAGTACCACAACCCGATGAGGCAGGTAGCAATAGATAATGAAGACCACAGCAACTAATACAGCATTTGCACATAAGTTTCTCCAACACCACCTTTGTTTCTTTTTCCTCATCTCCTTCCCATTTTCCATGCGTTTCACCTATCCATTGAAATACCTCTCCTCTCAGGGGCCACACTGGACAGAGACTATATTTTTATTCTTTTGCAGAGGGAAATAGGCTCTAATAGCCTGTTTGGAAACCTTACAACTTTGTAATTAGCAATATGAGGAAAACCAGCATAAAATAATCCGGCCATTGTCCTAATAGCCTGCTTTTGGAGCAAAGTAAATGAGACCTAAAGACTGGTGTAAGACTAGCCTTTAACTATATTTCACCAATCTATCATTCAAACTAAAAGGCAGAGGTAAAAGAAAAAAAAAAAAATCATCTGAGTTGCATATTCAGACTGCTCTTTTTATGTCCTTTTAGTTCTCACAGTTAGAAAGCATGTGAGAAGAGCCTGGGAACCAAGAAGCAGCTGACAGAAGAGTGTTATGGTTCTGGTTTCCTACCTGTATCTAGACATGCATTTTTATGGACAAGTGCAACAAAGTAATATGAAGAAATAATTTAGAAGAATTAGACTTCATGTTTAGATGGGTATTACATTTTAAAAATGACTTTTTTTCCTTTGAAGTTTTACATATTATTTAGTTTAAATTAGCAAAAAGAAATAAGAACAAGGTTGGAAGAAGTTGTGAGTTTTTTTTCCTTTTAAATATCAAATATCACGTCTAACGTTCCCTAGTTTTGCTGGCTGAATCTCTTAGAGATTTAAAAATAAATACATTGTGGGTTATGGATATAAACATTTGAAGAGGCTCCTTGTTGAAGATTCATTCAGCACTAGAAGAATTAAAAACAAGCTGACAAAGTGCATACAGATTACTGAAGTTAGATTTGGATATGGGTCCTTCCTGTAAAGATCCCTGATCTCATATAGAATTGCAGTAAAACAAGTGAAGCTCTGTGGGGATGAGTGGGTCATTAGCAAAAAAGGGAGAATGCAGTACGAACTCATTGCAAGACACCGAGTTAAACAGTGACAATAACTCTCTTCCTCTCCCCTGCTTAACTTTTAGTACCTTATAGCTATAATTGCAAAAGCTTCTCTATTTGCCACCATCTCTTAACTAGAAATTTCTTGTGCAAGTACAATCCTCCCTTTTATAGCCCTTCTAAACTGCACCTGCAGACAAGCCCCTGCTTCTAGAACAACTGCAATCCAATTCCTTCTCCAAAATATGCTAGTTTTAAATTTGATGAAATAAGGTACTCCAGAATATAGGATCTGAAGTAAAAAAAAATTCCTTTGCTCCCTTAATTGTCATTATCCTAAAGTGTTTCATAAATAGATCTAAATCTTGCCATAAACAATTAATACGGACACAAGCAGTCTCCAAATCACATAAAAACATTTCTGCCTTTAGAAGATACATGTGTGATGCCAAAGATAATCAGGAAGAAATACAAAGCAAATCTTAACATACTGACTACTCATTTTTGGCAGTGCTCATTTGAGTAACAAGAAACTGTAAGAAAACAAAAACTATCAAGGGCTTAAGTTCAAAATGTAAATCAGAGTACAAAGGCATACTCCAAATTTACTGAGGTATACATTTGTGATCCATGCAACCTTCTGAGAAGTCAGTATTACACAGCAAGCTTAAATTAATCCTGTGCAACTTGCATAGAATTTTCCAGCTTTAAAAAAAGCCCACATTAAGTGCACATGGTTGCAACAGTTATAGGGGTAGTTGTTATTTATTTATGGGATTCCATACTAGTGTTTAACTTGGAATCAAGCACATCCACTTAGCTAGACAGACTCTTTAATACGCAGCACAAGTGAGCAGCCTTCATGATTACATCCAGTTCTTACCAGGACCTTCAAATGTAACACTGAAACCAGCTGAACACAACGAACAGGCTGCGAGGAAAAGACCAAGTCCAGAAGACTTGCCTTACCACAAAACCAACCTAACTACAGCTAGAATCTTGAAGCTTACCAAGATATTCCAACACACCAACACCTTTCTTTCAGCTGTTTATTTTCATTACCTCTCCTTGGACATACTGGTAAAAAACAAAGGGGAAAAATAAAGTAATTGTTGATTAATACAGCCAAGCTGATGTGAATAGAGGCTCAGAGTGCCATTGATCACTTAGTATAACGACTTTCAACATTATCTCCTCCTCTGTCAGTGTATCTCAACATCTTTTTCCAGTGGAAGCACAGACCTTCATACAGTAAACAAAATCCCATTGCCAGCAGGCTTGTTTTCATTAATTTCTCATGAAGGACCCCTTTTAAGTTGTCTATGGTTAAAAAACATTGCTTTAATACAATCTCAGTTTCCCCCATACATTTTTCTTAGCATCTCCTGACACCAGACTAGCAGTTGCTCCTGAATTCACGTTGGTCACATCAGCTTTTGAAAGTCATGATCACACTGTGCTCCCAGCAACGGTGATCATTCAACTCAAGTCAAGGACTCTGCTAAACTGCAAATGCAACCAGAGAGAAAGTTTTCCAATGTATTATCAGCTATATATTGATCCAGGCACCTGGGGCTGCGCTCCCTGATCTGCAACTGACAGCTATAGCTCCAAATGATTCAAGCTAATTGGCAAGAAGTTTTGGATGATATTTTCAAACTTTAAAATGAAAATTACTCCTTTTAGTTTGAAGGTAACTAAAGATCTAGATACCCTACCCACAAAAGCCAACATTAGGATTCATTTTTGTCACAACTAGTGCCTGCTTATCTGATGGATAAATCTGACAGGAGAAAACACAGAAACATAATTAGATAATCTCCCTGTTCACACTGATATGTTAGCAGCAAGTGTAATCATGATAATAAACAAAATGAAACATATGAAAAGGTTTTACAAAAATCAGTATACATGGCACAGATTAGGGGGGAGATAGCAGTTAGCATTTTAAAACAAGAACTGAACTTTTTAACTCAACAACAACTGAAATTACACTGACATTTTCTACCAATCTGTCAGCGACAGTGACCTCTGAATTTGGAAACTATTTTGCTAACTCTCAGGATCAGTACTGCAGCCTGAAAAAATGTCAGTGGTCTTTGGTCACTGGCCCCAGAAGTGTCATTGGTCTTCTGATAAGTAGTATCTTCTGCACAGTGTAAGCATTTTCAGAGCATTTTGTAGAGTCTGAGCAACATTTCTCGGTACTTCCATTAGTAAGCATCAAAAGAATCAACAGAGACACAAAAATATATTTTGTCCTAATACACAAATTGGACTAAAGCAACTCATTGACTCATGACTGACTTTCCTTAAATTTATTTTGTATGGAAAATTAAACACAGTTTAAAGAAATCTTACCATCATGAATCTCAAATGCCAAACTAGTGATCTTCTGTGTAATTATCATCATTGGACTGTTACAAAAAAGGAAGAAAGAATAATTTAGAAAAGTTAAGGATTTTCTTTCACATGTAAATATCAGGGAAAGTTTATACTAATAGTCCAGGTTAATTACGCTCAAGCAGAAGATTTTCAATCCAAGGACAAAGTGATTAGTTTACGGAGCTCAAACCATTACAGAGTTTTCAATGCAATGAAAAGAATTTAATCCCTGGGTATAGTATTTGATAACTCATGCCTTTTATTGTTACATTAGGTTCCATAAAAGCAGCCAAAGTGTTTCACATTTATTTTCTGCTAACATACTTTATTTTTTACAGTGGGAAGAGTAAAGAAAAAAGGGCAGTAAGAGCAAATATATGCATTGTAAATTACAGCAGCAGTAAGCAAAGGACAATAAAAATATACCAAATAGAACAAACTATTTGTTTAGATATGCAGACCACTTCCACTGTTTCTACTAACACCTGGTCATATTCTTATTTTTTCCATCTAGAATTATTATTTGCTTCAAGTAAACATATCTGGCAAAACAAAAACGTAGCATAATTGTGCTGGCTCCCACAGAGTTTAGTTTGGTTTGAATTTGGTATACTTGAGTAGATCTTAAACTGTCCAAGAGATATTCTTTTCTGGCTAAGCAAGTCAGCTTTATACTGAGAAATTATACCATCTTTGTAGTATCTGAGAATTTTTGACTGATGTAAATCCCAGCATTCCTAACCCTCTAACTGGGGGGAGGGAGGGGATGGGGTAGAGCATAAAGTAGGCTACCAGAATTTAGAAATTTAACTTTGAAATCAGATCTCAAAAATATATCAAGGACTGTATTTACCTAGTAGTATTTGAGTTGGAGAAAAAAAAAAAAACCACAGCAAAATAATCATGTTGTAGGATAGGCACATAGTCTTGTTCAAGTCTTTAGATTGCACTTGGCCTTTTTATAAACGTATTTAAGTTGGCACAGAAAAACAAATCCAAGAGCCATCAAGTCCTCCTTCACTGACAGGGCTATGCCAGTATTTTGCCAGATGGCTCAGTCTGAAATTAATTTTTGTTAGGTTATAGTTATTTTAAAGCACACAATATTTCCAGTCCTCAAAAATGCAATCAGGGAAAAAGTTTCTTCTACCGTATTATCAGTGCCCCAAAATCCTGATATGAAGACTAGAGTGACAGGCAAGGGTCAGCAAGGAAGAAAACTAAACAAGAACAGGCAGTATGGGAAATCCCTTATATCTCTTTCTAGCATTTAAGCTGTGGACCTGCCTGGTGCTGGCAGAAATCCCCAATTGATTCTGATCATAATGGGTTTCCCTCCTGTCAGTGGACATGTGACAGCATGGATCCTGCCTGGTGGAAGGATGGAGCCTAGGAGGGGCTCGGTCAGATCTGACATTAATTCTAGCTGATACATCTGTCATTGCTATCATAGCAGACCCCAGTATATTTTTTCTTCCTTCTCAAGTGGCTATTCTAGTATCTTCAGAGATTTGGCTGAAGAACAAGAATCTAGAGACTAAAAGAGGAAGAGTCCTTCCTGGAACAGTGAGGCTGTGAACCAGGATTTTAATGAACCCTTTTAGGTGCTGGCAGAAAGGCAAAGGAGTTGGTGGAAGGCTCACTGGCAGCTGAGATTTGTTAGCACTGAAGCCAGGACCACACAGCTCTGCAGAAGCAATTGCACCTCCAGCACGAGGTGTCCCCAGCCTTCTCTACTGTCAGTGCACTGATACCCTCTGTCAAGCTTTTTGCAGATTCTCTGGGCTTGGACACCTCAGATGGGCACGGCATGCTAGGATAAATCTAACAGGGATTCAAAGCTCTTTTGGGGCTAACTGCTATATGAATCCATGCCAACATCTTTGGAAGAACTGGCTGGTGCTGGGGTTCAACAGCTGATGAGGCAACTTTTGTTATTTTCTTGAGCTTACTCTCTTCCCCTGGAACTAGAGAAAACTGACAGAAGACAGCCCCCTTCGGTTCATCTTCTTTCTCCTCCTATTTTGAAAGTAATCCCTGCCTCAGGCCTCAAGGGAGCAGATGCAGTATATGCCAGAGATTTAACGTGCTATGCATGCATCAAGCTCCTAAACTGGTGCATGAAAGGATGGTTTAAATCAGGCAGCTCAAGCATACAATCAGAGAGCTGGATCTAGGCTTCAAAACAGTTCTATCCAGAGCACAGATCTCATAAATCTTTGGACTTGTTTAGACCTAGCAGAAATATCTGAGCTAACACCAAACCAAGGGAGCCACAAAGGCAGCTGCTGTCTGAAAGCAGCACAGTCACATTTGAGCCATGGTGTGCTCAAGTTCTATTAATAGTTCAAGAGCAGCAACAAACAAGTGCAATTATACTGTTTCCAGAGTCAGCTCAGAGCTTTGATCACTGCCAAGGTTGTACACTTTGGCCCTACAGTGGACTAGAAGGGACAGCATTTGGATTATAGTTCCACTTGTAACGGTGAAATTTAATTCAACGTCAGTAAACCTAGTTTTAAAGTGCCTATATGCATGTGTCTGTGTTGCAAGCTCTCATTATAGCCATGGAGATCTAGTCAGTAGAGTCTGGGGCGACTGGCATGTGACCCAGTTCACACTAAGGCAGATACTCAGCGGTGGGTCAGCTGAAATGCCCCCCAGGCCCTACTGTCTACAGCGATCAGATCTCCACTGACTACCATTGGAACTTGGATATCTGGATTGAAGGCACTTTGATGCAGGCATAAGTGCAGAAAGATGTTAAGGAAGGTAAGACCCAGCTAAAAATCACAGAAAAGATGAACTTAACCATAAAGGCTTTTGGCTTCAACCTACAAGTTAAGCTTCTGGACTATATGTCTGTTACCAATGAAGACTGAGAAGCAACAAGGCTAACAAGCACAACTCTGCTACACAACACAGGTAATACTAAACTACAAAGACCACTGCCATGCATTTTTTAAGCAGACTAGCAAACACTCCTATCTCTTTTTTCCAAAATACACACTGTCCTTTAAATCAACAAAAGCACCATCACAGCAGCAAACTTATTGCTAGGAAATGTTGTGCTTCACTTCTCTGTGCCTGCAGTAGAAAGAATCATCACCAATGTGGTTTATTTTTACTTTGCCTGTTTAAATCTGTTTTGCTCCTATACAGCTCAAGTCAAATACAGGGTTAAGCTCATAACATAAAATGAGAACACATAGACAAAACTTTCTATTTCCAAGGGCTGTGTGACTACTCCATCATACAGGTGCCTCTCTCCTTAGCTTTCTCTTTCTGGAACACCTAACATAAAACCAAAAAAGACAGATGCTAAAAGCTAAATTCCATAAAACATTCAGGTTTTCCTCACAAAGTGGCATTAGGCTGTGCCAGGCATGCCAATACATCAGATACGATTCAAGTTTCATCATGGGTGGTAACAGATTCTAGGGGAAAAAGCAAAAGCAAAAAAAAATCCCAGTCACCAAATCCTTTATGCCCTTCAAACAGGAACAGGAGGCAGCAGATAATGCATTCGTGGTTCTAACAGACACAGCTGTTCCCAAAATTCTCAGTGTGCATGATTAAAGCACAGGTACATATGTATTTGTATGCGTGCCAATACACACATACATGCCGGGCTTTCTCCCAGTGTTTAAAATATTGACGCACTTAACCTGGAAAAAAAAAATAGTAACAAACACAGTGTCACCTAGGAGGACGAGATGTAAAGATTATTCTTCTCCTTACCCAGAAAAATCAGCAGAATATTGTCCATAATCAAAGATATAGACTCTAGTAATTTGGCACACAGTGAGGTATCCCAAAGCAAAAACAAAGCAATACCTGGAAGGAAAATGGAAAAAAAAACTTTCAGTTAAAAACCATAAACATTTCTCCATCAAATAAACTACCTTCTAAGTAGAGTTTAGTCTCCAGTTATTTCTAGTGAATATTACATAATCGGAATGTGTAATTACCCCTTCATTCTGACTGGGGTTTTTTGGCAGTATCTATTCTATGCAAGCACATAGACTTTTTTTTTATTAAAAGTGCACAGTACTAACTTACAAATTCTATTGTCATTAGCCAAAATATTCACGTAAATAAAGCATCAGATTTATAACTTCAGGTGCCACTGTAAAAAACTGGAAGTCCTATAAAGAGAAAATGAATCTGTTAAGCTTTTTTCTTTAGTTCAAAGTTATTTTGTCTATGTGAGCATAGAAATTTGGCAAATTATACAAAAATCATTTCCACTGAATATATTTCTATACATTCAAAATTCAGCACCACAATTCCCGCTGCTGCTGTTTCCCAAGGACCTGGAAAAGACAATTAATTTTCAGATACACACATTACAACATATTGAGTGAAAAAGGAACAGGATGCCTTTATGCCTCCTGTTAAAGCTGATCCTCAGCACGTGTAAGAAAAAACATAGATAAGAACCACCTTATGTAAATAATATAAATTTAATTTCACGTATCATTTTTTCAGGTCAGGGTTGGGATTTTTCTTTATCCCCCTTTTTAAGATGTACAACAGTATTCTAATGAGAACTAATTTACCAACACACCTCGCAAAATGCGCCAGATATTCTTTGCAGTCAAAAAGGAGGGTGAATGCCAGCAGGAGCTTAACTAATCCTTTAAGACTTTACGTATAAGCTCTACATTTTGAACTTTTCCACATAACTTAGGAAACTTTCGTGGTAATGAAATGAAACACTTCTTTAATGTTCACAAGACTAATGTACAACCCTTACAGCAGACCGTATTATGCATTCAAAATCCAGTTAGAATGAACCAAATGGAAAATCATGACTAGGACTGGATTTAGGTGAAATAGTGAGGGACTCTACAGGAAGAGCTTGGAACATGCTTTTCCCTTCTTTCCAAATAAATATTTTTGAAAAAAAGCATTAATATAATAAATTCTAAAGTCTTCAAAGTTATTCTTCAATCTGAAAGTGATACCTATTTTTGCCACACAGAACACCTGCAGTTTAACCTTTAATTAAGAATTGTGCTAGATATAAACCAGATTACCTTATATATTCAACCACACTTGTTGCTTCTTTAAAAAAAGGTTTAGTTTATTGTGCCTGTTTTAGCAATAGTTTATTTTCTGTTTTCATGAATATTAATAATCCAGAAACAATATTGTATTGTGTGGCTAATGGTACAAAAGTGTTTATAAAAAGAATCAAATAAAATTACACAGTAATTGGCTCATAATTATACCAAATTATTTCAGAAAGAAAAACAATTTAACACAATTAAGAAGTATGTTGTGGACTGCAGCTACCAGGAGTATATTATGTAGAACCCTTTTTAAAAAGTTTGGAATTAAAATTTTCCTGAGATATTTTAAGAAAAATTGCCGCTCCCCCCCCCAAATCACCCAGATTTCACATGAATGAGGAGTACGTGCATTTAGTTTGCCCGCACTGAGATCAGTCCCAGTTCTTCCATTCACTAAAAATTCACTATCATTTTCAGCTTTACCAGCCTCTTGATTTACATACTAAACAATCCTAGATTAAAAGTAACTTGTTGCATGTAGATACTTACATACCCACTCATAGATACCATACTAAAAAGCAAAGAAAAATGAAAATACTGTAGTTTTCTTTAAGAGGATCTTATTTTATCACCACCGGCAAGATCATGTATTTACTAGCACCAGTCTATTCCCAGTATATTGCACCAGGTCTAGAACAAACAGAATTACAAACGTGATGCTAACTACAGCTTTCATATCTTAAAACGCTATCCATAGCAGCAATACATACTTTGTCAGGGCAAGAAACGCAGTATGTTAGTGGATTAGACAGAAGAAAACAGACACCAGTTTCTATCTCATACAGTTTATGTCATAAAACACTTACACTGTTTTTAAACAAGACATTATGAAGACTTCCTTTCGCAAGTAGAAAAGCTAGGCTGATAAGTAGAACTAAAGAGAAACTAATAAATAACCTAAAAGAAGAAAAGCACTGAGAAGTCAGGAAACCTTAGGTTCTTTTCTGTATAGTCATTATGGTACAGTCGTGCAGCATTATGTAAACATGCAACTGCAAATTCCTGTCTCACGGAAGAAACAGGTCATTATTCTTGGTATTTTTAAAGGCTTTGCATTCCAGTTCAAGACACATCCAGTGATTTTACTTATTGCATACCTTCTGCATGCTGCACTCAAGAAGTTTGGGATTTCCCCATGAGCACTTCCCTCAGTTACTCTCCATGCATTCAAGTGCTTCATAAAAATTGCATTCTTCTTTAAGATGAATTTTAGTGATACTCAATGTTACCCCAGTTCTACGTATATGAGGAAATTGAGAAATAAAGAGATTACATGGGTCTGAATAACAAAATGGGGAGATGCAAGGTCAATTCTTGGGCAAACTTATCTTTTTTAAAGTTGACAGACAGGACATGACCAGTACATTTCAGTCACAGACACACTCTGTACTTCTACAAATCTAATCACAGGTGTTCCATGAAAGGTGAAAGATTGTATTTGTAGCTAATACAAGTAGTTTAAACCACAAGGTAGTATCTTGTACTTGGGAACACAGACTGAAGCAGCAATACTACCCAATTATGGTACAGCAAAATGTGTAGGGCAGTTTAAAGATTACTTCTTCACTTGCAGGTTCCTGTGCCTTAAATGCCATCCAACTTCTACAACAAGTTAACTTTCTACGACGAAATGACTGGCCTAGTAGATGAAGGGAGAGCAGTGGATATTGTCTACCTGGACTTCAGGAAAGATTTTGACACTTGACATCCCCATAGACAAGCTGATGACATATGGGCTGGATGAGCAGACAGTCAAGTGGACTGAAAAAAGGCTGAATGGCCAGGCCCAGAAGGTGGCGAGATCAATGGCACAAAGTTGAGTTGGAAGCCAGTAACTAGCTGCGCACCCCAGGGGTCAGTACTGGGTCCAATCCTCTAACTTCTTCA